TTGTTTCGATCACTATTTTTCAAGTAGTACCTTATTTTGTATTATTTTCTAAATTTCTTTAATTAATTACTTATTCTATAAATTTTGTATATATACTTTTTTGTTTAAAGTACAATAAAGTAGCTACAGTTCGGCATTACGAATTCGGAATAATATTTAAAAGTCAAGAAGAAAACTCCGTATTTTATGAAATAAAATGCCAAAACAGCATTAGTAAAAATCCTAAACTAAAATTAGACAAAAATAATGAAAAATTATGTGATTGTAGAAACCCTGAAGATTGCTCTTGGAAAATAAATGCTTCACAAAATCTGTGGTATACCAATGCACTATCTCATCCATTGAGAGTCCTAACACTGATAGGATATACATTGGTTCAACGGTGAATGAATTTAAAATTAGATGGAGACAACACAAAAGCTCCTTCAATAATATTAGAAATAGAAATCAGACATCTCTATCCAAATATTTTGGCATTTAAAAGAAATGAATAAAACACCAAAAGTAAACTGGAAAATAATAAATAGAGCAAGAACTTGTAAAACCTGAGATGACCCATGCCCTTTATGCCTACATGAAAAACTACAGATTATTAAGTTTCTAAATAATGAAAATTTATTCAACCATAGACCTGAGTTAACGGTTTTCTGCCGACACCAACAAATTTTCGCATTAAATAATTAGCATAAAAAAATTAAATTTCGTAGTCTAATAAAAGGTTTAATAGTTTAACCCAATCATAAGATAGAAAAACCTTTTATGAAGTCGTCAAAAAAACAAATTGTAGTTCAGTGCGACGCGTTTAAATACGAAACATCCCTTTAGAAAATAAAATAAAATAAAAGGATAAATAAATAAAATAAATGGATAAATAAATAAAATAAAATAAAACAAAATTCTCTTGACACTTAACGACATATTATGGTGCCAAAAGCTATCTTTCGCTGTAACTGACAAGACGATGTGCGTACATGAATGCCATCATTCGCTTTGAAATGGATACCCCCACCCTACCTCGGCTTGACCTCTTTCCGAAGGTGACTGATATGTGGATAAAAATTATCTCTTAAACCCCTTACCAAAATGGTCGTCCCAGCCGTTTCCATAGTAATTAATTTTGCGAATGAACATGCTTATAAAGATGTGCAAATTTCAAGATTGATTATTCCTAATTTTTCACTTGAGGATGAAACAGGACTTGATACTTTAACTCAATTTAATTTTAATAATTATATTGAGGTTTTCGGCTCTCGTTTTTGAAACATAAGAACTCTTATGTAGCGAAGGAATCATATTTTTTTTTAAATAATTATAATTTAAGCTCTACTTCTGTATGGAGCTCTGTTTTTTTTATTTTTTTTTAAAATAAAAACAAAAATACTAAAGAACTCCGGATTATTTGCCTAACGTGTTCTTTCCTATTTTTCTTTTCTGCATATCTATATATATATATATATATATATATATATATATATATATATATATGTGTGTGTGTGTGTGTGTGTGTGTGTGTGTGTGTGTGTGTGTGGCAATTTGTTGACTCAAAGACCTATACATAATCAACAAAAAGCTGAATAGAATTGTCTGTTATAATGTTTTTTCGCTCAAATGATCTGTTGTTTTTAGATGATCTCTTCTTGAATAAACATTCCTAACCTTGCCTATTTGTCAGACTAATTTTAATTTCGAGTGTTCGCTAGTCTGTTTGCAAATACTTTTGAGGATAATTGTTATATATTCGATAGATAGACTTCTATTTATTCGTGTGTGTGTGTGTGTGTGTGTGTGTGTGTGTGTGTGTGTGTGTTCTGCTTCTTCGTATTTGCGTGCTGCTGTTTATTCATTTGTGCGTGTGATTCTGTTTATTAGTGTATGTGTGTGTGTGTGCTTCTGTTATATTCGTGTGTGTTTGCTTCTACTTATACGTGTATGGGAGGTGCTTGCGCGAAAGTGATGTATATTCATGTTTTTCATACTAGACGTGTTTTTCGTACACATATACACTGTGTACGCTTTCATCTACCTAAACTCAATTAACAATGTGATTCTGGAAATAGATGTACATATGTACTTACTTCAGAATAATATATTAAATCCATTTTTCTAAACATAATTATTACCATGGCAAACATCTGATTTTGTGTTCAGGATTTGCCTGTAAGATATGGTTTTGACTATGAAATGCGCGTAAAACACCAAAATCTCTACAGACAAATGTAACTATAATCGCTAAAATCAAACGTAAATATTTTGCGTTCTGTACCGTCTCGGGATGCTCACGCCATTAATAAAAACAGTGTTAACAAAAAGTGTCACTTACTTTTGGTATTCGTTTTGTTAAGCCTGGCAGCTTGGATTCTAAGAGGCAATAGTAAGACTGGCGTGACAGGAATGCACGTTGGCTCAGCATCCCTCCACGAGTTGTATTAGCCGGTCTGAATACTCAAGACCCTCTGCTGAATTCGCGCCGTTTTGGACATATTCAAAACCCAGACAAAGGCAATCCATCACTGTGAGAATGCCCCGCCCACGAGTCAGTCAATCGCTGACCATTCTAGCCCTGGACTTCGCATTTTGTAAACATTACCTCAACTTTTTCTTTTTCAAAATACATAGTAATATATATTTTAAATGACTATCAAGTGTAACATGTAGCTTATTCGTCCATCGCTGAAAAGGACGTGTACCTTGTGTTTTATAGACTATGCAAAGGCGTTCCACAAAGTACGCCACATAGATCTGTTAGCGCTGATCAGCAACCTTAACATATTCGAGAAAGACATTAGAATAATCAAAAAACTCTACTGGCAGCAAACCGCCTGATACGGATAAAAATGAGTTCAGTATATATACAAATATAGAAAGGGGTGTAAGGCAAGGATGTGTCTTCTCACTGGATTTATTCAAACTATACAGCGAGGCAATTCTGAGAGACCTGAAAATCCTATCAGGGTTTATCATTGGCGGCCACTATCTTAACAACACAAGATACGCACATGACACAGCGCTGATAGCAGACACGGAAAGAAAATTACAAAACTCCTATCGAGGAGAGCGAGAAGGGACTTAGCATAAACTATAAGAAGACAGAATGCATGGTCATCAGCAAAAAGATGAGCCCAAAATGCAATTTAGAATTGGGGAACACAAGCAGGTACAGAAATTTAAATATCTAGGAAGTGTTCTAATAGAGGACGGTAAGTGCAACACTGAGATCCGAAGACGTATTGGGATGGCCAAGACGCATTCCAAAAGCTAATCAGAGTATTACGAGACAAGAAAGTTTCGTTGGAACCAAAAAAAAAAGAGTATTGAGCTGTTACGTAATGTCTGTCCTCCTGTATGGTAGCGAATGCTGGACAAACTCCTCAAAGATGAAGAAGAAACGCGAAACAAGAGAAATGTGGTTCGACAGAAGGAGGCTAAGGATACCATGGGCCGAACATGTGAGCAACGACGAGGTTTTGGAGAGTATGTAAACAAAGAGGAAATTTATACTTAACATCGGGAAGAGGCAGTTGAAATTTCTGGAACACGTAATGAGGAAGGAGGGCTTGGAAAATCTGATACTCACAGGACGGGTAGAGATAAAATGGGGAAAGCAACGCGTGACATACTTAATTCACGCTATGTAAATAGTGGTGGAGTTTTTGCAATGTGTAGTTGATGGCATACGCTTCTTTTTTCAATAACTGACCACCTCCTCTGTGTATCACTCAGTTCTATGAGATAGGAAGTGTATACACGTTATTCCATTTCTCTTTTCATTTCATCATATATCTGTTGCTAAGTTCGATGCATCCGTGTAAAGTTTATATTCTTTGTTCGGATCTGGACATGCTCGCGTCACCGATTCGGGCATCATATCTTTCAGGCGATCGAATGATTTCTGACATCCCACCTAAAATGCGTAGGTTTCCAATTAAATCTAATTAACGGTTCTCCTAAGCTAGAGAATTCTGGAATAAATCTTCTCTAGTAGAAGCACAAACAGATAAATCCCTAAACTATCTGATAGTGGTGGGAGGGGCTAGGGGGTGTAGAGCTTTTACTTGAATTATCTGGTTGAATTCCCGTGGCACTTATTTTAAATCCTAAGTACTCGGTCCCTGACTTAAAAAAAATTCTCATTTAGACGGGTTTAACTTCAAATTGTGTTTCCTTAAACTGAATGATGTGTTTTAAATGGTGTTGTATGGAATCAGAAAACACTAAAAATGTCCAAATTGGACAGAGTGTGCTGTTCCTGTCCCTGTAAAACGGTGGACACAAATTCCTGAAATACACCGGTGCTTTCGTCAGTCCAAATCGGCCAAATCTGCTCATCTTCAGATTTCTATTATTTTAGCGTATGGGAAATATTTTATGTACTGATTATTCTGTTATCGAAACTATTTAAGGCGAATTGTTAACTTCATGGAAAAACGCAAAATGATAATTTGAATGGATTTTTGGATTGTGAATGAAAATGAGTAGCGGTATTCTGTCCGTCGTACCCTACTGTTACTACCGCACTCGTTAGCGAAACGCCACATAGGTTACCTTCTTCTAATGCTACATACTCATTTCCTATATGGAGTGCTCCTAAATCGAAATAAATTCTAGCCCCATTTTTCTATAGCCAGTCCCGTCCCAATATTATATTCCTCTTTAAGTTTCTCACTACGTCAAAATTATGCGCTCGGTGGTCCCCTTCCCACCAGACGTTCCCAGTTTCCCTACAGCAATTGCTCGTAACTCCGTCTAATGTGACCTTCACCACCACATTCCCAGGAGATAACTAACCACACTTCTGACTTTATTAACTATCTGTTCAGGTCGTCTCTAAATCTACCCCCACCGGCTATACATATTTCTGTTGTATATATCCGGTGAAACTAATCCTCTTTCCCACATAACCTTTCCTATCCTGGGATTACTTTCTACATTGGCTTTCTCCTAGAGTGACAAACGTCCATGGGTTCGTGTACGTGTTCCCTACTTAAGTCTAATCCAACCCTATGTTACAACTTACTCACCGCTACTGCCTTTTCATACGCAATCTCTGGCGTCTCCGGTTGTTCACTGAAGACCGCCATCCTAATATCTACATTATCAAACACTTCCATGAAAAAATTCTTAAGCTGCGATACTGCTATCGGATCACACGATCTGCTCCCACGTAAGCCATCTCTTCTAATTCTAATAACCTATCCATGTAAGATTGTATTTCCTCATTTCTACCCTGTCTAATATTAGACAGCTGTCTAAAACATATAGTGTGGAATTTTCCAATTTTGCCCTTCGGGCAAATAGGAAGTTTCTGTCCCTGGAAAAGAAAACTCTTGAGTGTATGATGCAAACATTGGGTAACAAGTGTTTGTCATGCTTAACTGTGATAGAAGTGATGTCCCAACTTTAATTTGGGAGATTTCTAGGCTCAAGATACATCACAATTTGAAAGACCTTCAACGGGGTCAACTCCGAAATTGTTGATCATGTTCTTGATCAAATTTTGGCTGATCGACAAATCTCGACCCCCATCCCCACCCCCGCAAAATTGCTCTGATACGCTAGAGATACCCAACAAAAGCGTTTGGTTTATAATCCATGATCAGTTGTGTATTCAGAAGCTGTCTACCAAGTTGGTACCAAAATGTTGGGATGCCGTCCAGAAACGTTATTGAATGTACCCCTCTGGTACATTTGGCAGTATTTTCATTTTAGCATTAAAACGATATGTCACTGTTGATGAAACATGCACCACTACAATCCTGGAATTATTTCCTGATGAAGAAGAGAAATGACACTTTAATTTACTGTACGATTAACCCACTTTAATGCTACCTTTCGACAACACTCGGTCGAATACTATTGGTCTTTAGGCTTTTAATGTGTTTTCTGAAAATTAAAGGACGTCACCACATTTTAATTACTTTCAGTCAGGAGTTTGGAGTTCTTTATGTATTCCAATGAAGGATTTGTTACGATTTTGACTGATTTTAGTTTATGCTGGCATCTGAACGGTTTCGATTCTTTTACGGATTTCCAATTCCTGCAACCTTTTTCCAAGCTGCCCCACGATTGTTTACAGTGTGTCAGTAATGGTGAGTGCAACCGTCACATTTGTGTGCCTTACCTTTTCAGTTCTCACTTAAAGTCTATATATATTTCTATTGTTTCCTTTCCTTTAAATTTTACCATCTGCTGAAACATCGGAATCAACTACACGAGAAATGTCATTGTTTTCATTTACTAGATCTGGCCTTTTGCCTTGAATTCGAAAATCTCAGGAAATTTAATGTTTGCTTTTCTCTTGAACAGCTTCTAATTTATGGATATACTATTGGTTTGTTGGTCCAATCCTGTGTCGTTTGCATGTTTTATTTCCATCATTCACTTATTGTATAACTGATATTAACATCTTTGGCCTAATATCATTACAGCTTTAATCCATTTTGATTGTCTTTTGAAATTTTTAAAGCATAATTCAAGCTCTTTTTCAGAATGGCAATGAATCGAATATTAGGAATTTCGGGTGTGGAGATAAAAACAAAAATCTACAAAAACTTCGATTTCAAAAAATAGTCAGCCAAACACATAGTTTTTAGTTTTCCTTCTTCTTCATTTCCTGCTCTCTTTTCCTTTCTCTCTCTCTCTCGTCTCTCACTCTCTCTCTCTCTCTCTCTATTTTTCTCTTATTTTTTCCTCTTCTCTTCTTTCTACTTCTATTGCGCATATATGCCAGTTTAGTGGCTAAAGCATAAGCAATTTTGTCAACGACATTATTATCCAGAAGTTACTGCCGGCTACTCAAACGTCTAAAAGCGTCACAGCGGAAAAGAAAAGGAATGCCGTTAACTTCCGGTGACTCAGCGTTTTTCAGAGAACGATTCACAAAAACACAGAACAAATGAAACATTAACATACACGAGCCTTCCTAACTAAAAATAATTACCAGAAACTACATTATATACACATGGAGTCCGAATGAAACCTATGTGTACAGTCAAAATGCAGAAGATAATTTTCAGTCACCACCACAAAGATACATTTAACCGGCTACAATGCTTGATTTCTTCCACCAGATACCACGGCAACTTCCGCTTCGGCGGATTTCGCCCAATTTTGACAAATATGGATCGTTTCTCGCCCTTTGGCTGAGATTCGATAACGGCTGAGATTCGATCATGGCTAGGTCTAGCTTGGACTGGCTCCGGCATGGACCTGCTAAGATAAGCCATAACCATTTTTGACTAAGCTATGAGCAGCTTGGACATGCTATGACCAGTTTTGGACCGGTGGCCCTTGAGCGGAAACACTCGGGTCTCTCACGTTAAACCGACCTTGTGTCACATCCTGACCCCGTGGGTGTCAAGTAAATATCCTTGTCGAATTTTGCCTCTTGGCGAATTTAACCGAGTTCGGATCGTTTCTCGCCCTTTGGCTGAGATTCGATCACGGCTCCGACTAGTTTGGACTGGCCTCGGCCTGGACCAGCTAAGACAAGCCATGACCAGCTTTGACCAAGCTCTGACCAGCTTTGATCAGCTTGAACATATCATGACCATTTTGGACCAGTGGCCCGAGTGTTTCCACTCGGGTCTCCCACGTTAAACCGACCTTGTGTCACATCCTGACTCAGTGTTGTCGGATTTGGCCTCGGAGAAGAGCGACGAGCTCCCTCTCTCACCTTCGCTAACCACACGAAGAAGCCAAACCTAGCAGCAGCAGCGGGCCGACCAACTTCAGCAGCAACAGCAACGGGCCTACTCAACTTCAGTAGCAGCAGCAACAGCGCCCCGACCCAACTTCAGTAGCAGCAGCAGCAGCTGTGGTCTCCATGATATGCACTAGTCGTTTTCAGGTCTATACCCGGCTACATGATATGCTCTCGTCCTTTTCAGGACTATACCCGGCTACATGATTTGCGATAGTCCTTTTCAGGACTAATCTAGCCACGTTATTACGAATGCCCTATTTTTTTTAAACTACCAAGCTGCGATTTTGCACGATTGTCATGCCTAGGACGAACAGACTACACCAGCGCCGTCCGCGTCGATCCTCTCTCTTCTTAAGCGCCGACGCGCTCTTTACAAATGCGATCGACTGGACCTCGAACACAGCTGTTCCATCTCTCTACCTCCAAGCTGTCGCCTTGAAACCTGACAACGCTCCTTCAACTGACACTCTCTAACTTCACGACCGAACTCCAGCAAACAATTTCCTGTACATACTTTTGCCAGATTATTAAATAAAGTTTAGCTTAAACTTTTACATCCTCGCCTTTGTTGTCCTTGCTTCAATCGTATTACCCTACATTATTTTTCTGCTTGCGGAGTTAACAGGCACCTGCTTAACGCCGCAACACTATTATTCAATGTTCAAATTCAAATCAAAACCTGACTCTAATGCTGTTTTTATTCCCATTTGATATATCGGCACACCTCTGTCGTTCTCACCCTTGTTTCATTTGGCTATGTGTTAGACACAACTAAGCGCACACAATCTCTAGAACTACACTATTGTTTGAATCGGGAATCTGTAGAACAATGAATAAGGATTTCTTTGCCTGAGCGCAAAAATCTTTCAGATGTCCCTCTCCTACTGTCTTAGTGTGTGAGGAGGTGATCTCTCCCATAAAAGTTGATTATCACATTAGAAACAACTTTTATGGGAGTCGGATCTCAGATTTTAGTTAAAATGTCTAGCTCTGAATTCGCTCGTCTAATATGTAAGCGCCGTCCGATCCATTCTCCGACTAATTTACACTCTTCTGGAACTGGCTTAGTGAAACTCGGCTTTTTTGCCTAAGAAAAATCCCTATGCGATAAAACCAATCTAAATTTCCTATTCCATTTTATTTTGATAATTATTATATTTGAAATTATACTGAATTCTACTAAGTTAAAACTTAATCGTTAATATCATACCATCAGTTCCCGAAGTCACCACATTTGAAGCTAATCCTACACTCGACCCAACCGCTCTTATTCCGATCTTAAATTTACTTTTCTGACGAAGTGATGGGGGAATTGATAATGGAAATATGAGGGATTGTCTTAATTCATAAGGTCGCTGGGGGTACATACACTGGAATCGCACATTACGTTAACCGTGTACCTCTAAACATATGCGCCTCCTTGCCGATATTTTATGTTCTAATTCATTCATTATTTTACCCGCGTATTTAATTTATTTTTTAATGGGAGTAAATAGGTCTACCTATCGCCCTGTCCGTACTCTCCTCTATCTTTTGAACAAGGGTAAAGGTTTATCCCTTGTTTCCGGTTCCTTTTTCTGGTGCCTTAATAATGGTTGCGGTCATGAATTTTGGTGATATGATTGGCTGGAGGGTACAACACTTCATACTGAAATTACCGCCTGTTAGTTAAGAGAACGAACTCTTGGGTGGCGCTTAAAGTAGCTGCTCTGATTAACAGTTGCATATATCGAAGTTTTTGCAGTGCCATATCGTGCAGATTGAGGCCACATTATGCTGCAGTCTATGCCAATTTCCGGTGAGCTTATGATGCCTTTATATGTCCGCCAGCTACTATTAATTATTGGCCTTTTCAGCCTTTAAAAATATACCATGACGAAAAGCAATAAACTAACTAAAACTAAACCAGTTCGCCAAAGAGAAAACCTAAACCACTCAACATTTTCTTTCTCCAGAAACAACAGAACGATTACAACAGACGTCTCTTTTGTCACTAATTGTAATGAATGTAAGCATGTCTTCAAAGAGGTAAAGTCACTGTAGAATGAGACACCATATAGTTTCGTTGTAGAGATTACAGGTGGCTCTGCAAAAATATACTGAACAAGAGCAATTTTTCAGTCTCTCCTCTATTCAATCAATTTGAAATGTTGTCATCGACTTCATCATGACAAGTGGCTTCATAACTCTAATGATACTGATCTTGCTGGGATCCAGACTTTGAATAACTCAGTAGTGTCTGTATATCTCTATTTTCATTCACCTATCAGGCAAGAACCTCTCATTAATAAAACATCTGTCTGTTGTCTTGGTTGATTGTTGATTGGGACTAATTTCGTAATTTTCATAGTGATGGCCATTTGAATGCTATTTTCAATCATCCTGATGAGAAATGTGCCACTAATATATCATGAGGGGTGAATTTTTCATGTCAGTACGGAAATAAGATGTCAAAATACAATCGTCTTAATAGTCCTTTTCTGCCTATACAACCGATTATAAAAAACATCGACTTGTCATTGCTAGTAAATAGTGCAAGCGGATCCCGAAAAAACAATCACTATTAAAGGAACATATATATATATATATATATATATATATATATATATATATATATAGAGAGAGAGAGAGAGAGAGAGAGAGAGAGATCTGAGGTTTTGTGTAATATTTGAATTGTTTGCGAGATGGATGTCTGCCATTTAAAAATCATTAACCTTTGCATTAGTTTTTTGTGAATAATTATATATATATATATATATATATATATATATATATATATATGAATATATATATATATGAATATATATGTATATATATAAATGTATATATATATATATATATATATATATATATATGCATATATTTACGTATATATATATATATATATATATATATATATATATATATATATATATATAAAAGAAAGAACAGTAATATTTATAATCCGGTGTTCTTATAGATATGTTTATTTTACAAAATAGTGCTCAATGTAAATTTACAGAGCATTAATATTATAAATTAATTGATTTAAAATATGTTTTTTCCGCTACACAGTTCTAACCATGTTTCAAAAATGGAAGCTAAAAGCTTAGAATTTAATTTTGTAATTAAATTAAAGGCATTAGTTCCATTTTCATCCTCAAGCGAATTTTGGAGTAGCTTTTTAAAAATTACTGGGTTTTAAAGACACAGCTAAAAATCATAATTCATGTTTCCAAGGTTACAGATAAAACCACTTTTACTAGACTAGGGGTGTCTGCGTGTTTATTATGTCTATATTTAGATGTATCAGTTATTTGCTACGGTTCGGAGGGGGTAAGGATGTATTTTTCAATGAAATCTAACATCCGTTAAATGCATGCCGTCTGGTTTTTTTTTTTAATTTTATTGTTAACGGCAAAAATTCTTACGGCATTTTTTTCCCTAATTTTTATATTTAAAGATTTTTGGTGGGTGTTTAGGTTAGAATGCGCTCTATTTAACTAAGATTTGAAATTTTTTCACTTTTAATATTCAATATACTATATTTGTTTTAAGAACAATTAAATGTATTAAAATCCCTTACAGTATGTAGAATTATTTTCACTTCAAGTATGAGTATGTTATTAGGTTACAATTTTTTTTTTTTTTTTGAAGTAAAATTTATGACAATGACGGCAAAAATAGCTACTTACTTTTACTGATTTAGTAAACTTTTATTTTTTATGTGAACCTAGTGATATATTGTTTCTCATGTAAGTACAAAGGACATGGGTCATTCAAAAGCTTACATCTTCTAGCATTTCATATTAATTTCATTTTACTTTGGGTGTTTTATTGGATTCTCTTAAGTTCGTGTAGTACTAATAGGGATGTCTTTTGATTAGGAGACGTTTTATTTAATTACAGTTTAAAAGAAGTTTAGGTTAGGATTCATTTTATTTAACTACAATTTTACTTACATCTTTAAAATATTTTCATTGTTAGTTTTAATAGACTATAATTCTTTTAATAGAAGTAAATGTATTAGAATTACTTACAGTAAGTAAAATTATTTTTCCATATCAAGTATATGTATATTACGATTTTTAAAATTTTATATTTAAATATTATTTAAGTAAAATTTATGGCACTATCGGTAAGGATAGCTAATTCATTTCTCTGATTTAGTAAACTTTATTTATTTTTATATATAAACTTAGTAATATATAGTTTCACATGTATGTACGAAGGACATGGGTCATTCAATGGCCTACATCTTCAAGCTTTTCGTCATAATTTCATTTTTCAGTAGGTGTTTTATAGGATTCATTTAAGTGCCGGTAGTACTTTTTGAGGTGTGTTTAGGTTAGAATACGTTTTATTTAACTACAATTTTAAAAGATGTTTAGGCTAGAATTCGTTTTAACTACAATTTTAAATGCAACATTAAAATATTTTCACTGTTATTTTAATACAATATAATATAAAATTATTTTTTCCTGTTAAATATAAGTAAGTAATAGAAATGAAATAGCTATTTTATGCCGTCATTGTCAAAGATTTTCCTTAAATAATGTTTAAAAATAAAAGTAAATTTAAAAAGGTGCGATCACGTAATATACATACTTATATTTAACAGGAAAAAATAATTTTATATACTGTAAATAATTCTATTACATTTATTGGTTTTCTTATAAAAAAAAAACGTGCAATCATATCACCGTCATCGTCAACAAACGATCCAGCATATGGCGCCCAATATGACGTCATCCAAAATCAGCCTACTATGGAACATCCAGACACTGGATCAAAAGCTAACCTGGCTAAAGCATAACACGTGGCTATCGCTAGCAAATCACCCGAACCGAGACGAACTATAGGCCACTGCAAACTTACTCATTCGCTACGCTGACGTTATCGGCACCGAAAGCAGAAGCAAAGGCACATTCATCCGACCCATCCGCATACCAACCAACGGCCAGTCTCGCAGCCAGAAACAACACCCGATAGTCCAGGCTTTGAAAGCAGACGTTGATACCGAAATTAAGCGCATGGCCGATGAAGCTATCATTGAAAACTGCAGCGAACCCAAAGGCTTCAGTAGCCCTGTATTTGCCGTACGCAAGAAAAACGGATCGATTCGCGTCGTCGCTAATTTTAAAAGAACTCTCAACAAGTTCTTAGTCTATCTTGACCCTTACCCAATGTCAAGGATCGACCACTTGTTCAACAAAATCGGCAAAGGCAATAGATATTTCACTTCCCTCGATATACGCAGCGGCTACTGGCAAATTCAGATCGACAAGCGAGACCGATACAAAACAGCATTTACATGGCAGGACCAATGCTATCAACACACGCGCCTGGCCTTCGGCCTTACATCTGCCGGACAAATCTTCTCCCGTTGCATAGCAGAAGCCCTATCCACGGTCACATCCCGTGACAACATTTCTTCCTATATCGACGACAACCTGGTCCACGCTAGGACATTTAGGGAGTACATACTCTCCCTC